TTCTAACCTTGCAATCAGAGAGAAAGTTTCTTCAAAATCTATTCCTTCTTCTTGATTGTAGCCTTGTGCTACCAACCTTTCTTTGTTCCGAACAATTATTCCATTTTCGTCAAGTTTGTTTTTAAACACCCATCTTGTTCCAATAATGTGTTTGTTTCTTGGCCTAGGGACAAGTTCCCAAACTTGATTCCTTTCAAATCTATTTAACTCTTCTTGCATAAAAATAATCCATTGGTCATCGCCTAAGGATTCATCAATTTTGGAAGGTTCAATTTGAGAGACAAACGCCATGTTTAGACAAGCATCTTTGAGATTTAGTCTTATTGTCACACATTGACTTATATCACCAATTACTTTATCGATAGGATGATCTCTATGAGTTCTCCGTTCTTTTGGTAGATCATTGAAATTTGATTCTTGTTGGGGTGATTCTTCTTGTTGAATTGGTTGATCTTTGGAATTATTTTCTTTAGGACCTTCTAGTATTTCATCATCATCATTACAAACAATATTATCCTCCTTGGAGGGGTTAGATTCATCAAAATATACATGCATTGATTCTTCAATTTTTAAAGTTCTTTTGTTATAAATTCTATATGCCTTACTAGAAAGATAGTAGTTAAGAAAGATACCTTCATAGGATTTTTCATCAAACTTACCAAGGTTATCTTTGTCGTTGTTTAAGACAAAGAATTTGCAACCAAAAATGTGAAAGAAAGCAATGTTTGGTTTCCTCCCTTTGAAAAGTTCATATGGAGTTTTTTTCAAGATCGGTCTTATGTTAACTCTATTGCTAACAAAACATGCCGTGCTTACCGCATCCGCCCAAAAATATTTTGGAAGGTTTGAATCGCTAAGCATCATTCTTACAAGCTCTACAAGATACATATTATTTCTTTCCACCACTCCATTTTGTTGAGGAGTCCTTGGTGCCAAGAAGTTGTGAGATATTCCATGTTCTCCACAAAATTCTTCAAATAGAGCATTTTGAAATTCTCTGCCATGATCCCTTCTTATGGATGCAATTGTTATAGACTTCTCATTTTGAATTTATTTTAGAATACTTCTTGAATGCATCACTTTTATTCACTAAAAAGAATGACCAAGTATATATAAAGAAATCATCAACAATAACCAAAGCATATACATTACCTCCGAAACTTCTTGTTCTTGATGGACCAAATGAGTCCATATGCAACAATTGTAGTGGCCTTGTAGTAGACACCATATTCTTAGATTTGAAAGTTGATTTTGTTTGTTTCCTTTTTTGAAAAGCATCACAATGTCTATCTTTGACAAAATTTCTCTTAGGCAACCCAATGACAAGATCATACTTGATTAGTTTATTCAAGTGTTCCATGTGAATATGAGCGATTCTTTTGTGCCACAACCATGAATCATCATTGTTTTCCATGATACATTTTACCTTCAAAGATGGATCATCAAGGGAAATCATGAATATATTATTGATTCTTTTACCTTTAAGTATAACCTCATGTGTGACTTCGTCTTCTATCAAGCATTCATCCTTGGTGAACTTGATATTAAAGCCTTTGTCACAAAGTTGGCTAATACTAAGAAGATTATGCTTTAGTCCTTCAACATAAAGAACATCTTCAATGGATGTGAAAGGTGGAGCACCAACTTTGCTTTTCCAAGAATTCTTCCCTCATTATTGTGTCCATAAGTGACAAAACCCTTGGTCTTTAGAACTAGATTTGAAAATTGGTTTATGTCTCCCGTCATATGATTTTAACAACCAATATCAAGATACCAAAGATTGCATGTGGTCTTCAAGCATACCTGCAAAAAAAATTAGGTTTTGTTAGGTACCCAAGTTGCTTTGGGTCCTTCATAATTAGTTCATTTCTTTACCCACACATAATTCCCACTTGCCACACTAAAGTTTCTAACATAGCAAGCATTAGGTGTATGGCCTTTAATACAACAATAAAAATAAGTAGGTTCAAAGTTACTTCTATATCTAGAAGGATAAGATTTCTTCTTAGAAAATGTTTTCTTTTTAGGATAGTGATGAACCATTTTAGGTTTGTTCACTTTCTGTTTGGATGAGTGATCACTAGCCTTAACAAAGATATTTTATTAGAACTTGGTCTTGAAAACTTTGAATATCCAAGTCCACTTTTATCATTGGAATATCTTTGTTGGCTAACAACACCTTCCAATCCAATTTGACCTTTTTCATATCTTTCAATAACTCTTTTTAATTGGACAATTTGGAAAGAGAGTGTGATTCACAATTTTTGCATACAAAAATTATTTTGTTGTTTATCACTTAATTTTTGTTTTTCTTCTTTGAAATCTTTTTTCAGAGTTTCACATTTTTCTTCTAAAGATGAAATTTGTTTCTTTTGACATGAAATAGTTTTATACAGAATTCTGCATTCATTTAATAGTTCATCTATAGCACCTTGTGCATCACTATCAAAAAGGGAAAATTCATTACTAACCTCATCATCTTCATTATCAGAATGGTGTGAGGCCATCAGTGCTAGATTTGCACTTTCATCACTATCGGAGTCGGATGAAGATCTTATTTCATTATCCTCCCATGCAACATAGGCCTTTTTTTTCTTGAATCCATTTTTGATTTTGTAGCAACCTTTCTTGGAGAGTTTCGGACAATCTGGCTTGATATGATCTTGCTTACCACATTCATAACATGTGAATTCTTGTGTTGATGTGGAAGCTTCCTTTTTCTTGAATTGTTTCTTTCCTTTTGAATAAGAAAAGGATTTATCATTTATACCAAAGAACTTACCAAGCCTTTTAACAAGAAGCATGAAATTTTAATCTTCTTCTGGATTATCTTCCTTTTCAACTTCCTTGGAATCTATATTTAAAGCAATATTCTTGGATTTATTCTCTTGATTTTCATGCTTTTCAAGTCTTCTGAGTTCCATCTCATATTCTTGAAGTTTTCCAAACAATGTTGCGGAAGTCATGAAGGAGAGACTTTTCTTTTCTGAAATTGCTGTTACCTTTGGTTGTCATTCCCTAGTTAAGGACCTAAATACTTTCATATTTAGTTCATCGTTCGTCAAAGTCTTACCAAGAATACGTAGATGATTTGTCAAGTGCACAAATTTCTTTTGCAAGTCAAGGATGTTTTCTGCGGGATGCATTCGAAATAATTCGTATTCTTGACTCAAAGTATTTAGTCTTGATCTTTTAACTTCAATAGTTCCTTCATGAGTTTGTACCAAGGTATCCCATATTTCTTTCATTGTTTTGCATGCCGAGACATGGAAGAATTCATCCATGCTAAGGGCACTTTGAAGAAGATTTATTGCCTTTTTATCATAGAGAACCTGTTTCTTATCATCTTCGTCTCATGCAACTTTAGGCTTTGATGAGAAAGCACCATTGATTACCGTTATAGGGATAAATGGACCATTCTTGATGACATCCGATATTTACTCTCCTTGTGCTTCTAGATGTGCCTTCATGCGTATTTTCCAGAAGTCAAAATATTCACCACAAAATAGAGGAGGCTTGTTGTTACTACCACCATCTCTGAAAACGGGATTTTGATTTGCGGAAGCCATTCTGGATCTTTTAGGAACATGTTACCTATAACCTACTCTGATGCCAATTGTAAGTATAAGAGTGCGCCTAAGAGGGGGGGGGGGGGGGGGGGGGGGGTGAATTAGGTACTTTAAAATTTTTCTGGTTTTAGTGATGATGGATATTATTTTTCTAGTTTATGGTGAGTTTATGAAAGAGTAAAGTGCAGAAAAATAAAGAGACTTATTCTGGTTCCCCTCACAGACTGAGAGTACTCCAGTCCCCTTTCAACATGAAAGAGATTTCCTTATTGTGGAAAACTTAAACAAGAATTACCCAAAACCAAGAACAATCCTCTTGGACCAAAAACAATCCTCTTGGATTTTCACTATGTCAACAATGAGAACAATCCTCTCAAAGTGACTTTACTTGTATCCAACAATCCTGGAAAAACAATATTTATAAAAACACCTTGAACTTATTTCCAACAATCCTGAAAAATAAGCAAGTATATAGCAATATTTGATTTGAGTGAGTTTGAGCAACAATGATAACTTTGAGTGATTTAATCAATGAATTGATCTTATCTTCCAATGATAATAGCATACAATGACTTAAGATACATAATGCTCAAAGTTTTATGGTTAACAATATGTGAAAGTGTTCAGAAAACTTGTGTATGAAAATGTATAACAGCTTGAGTTTGATTTTTTGAAAATTCAGAAAATATGATTGGAAGAGGTGTACAAAATGATTTTGAAAATGAGTATTTATATGTTCATATCACCCTTTTGAAACAACATAAAATTCTGTAAATGAATCATGAACAATTGCCAAGATTGAGTGAAAGGTTTTCATGAATTGGTGTTATGAACAGGCATGAGTAAAGCTGCTGTTTTCAAAATCGTTCAGCGTGCAATCGATTGCACCCTTTGTGTAAATCGATTGCACGGGGTTTCAACAGCTATAAATTCAAATATTTTGAGTGTGAAATTGATTGCACAACCATGCAAATCGATTTCACTTAGAAACAGTAGCAAATGTTTTGAAAAATTGAAGCATGCAATTGATTGCACCAATATGCAAATCGATTTCACTCAAGTGAAAATTGGATTTTTGCTTAGAAAAACTTGAGTAAAGATTTGGACAATATAAAATATTTCTTTTGACCATTGAGCATCTATGTCTTAAGTTTAAATTAAGTATTATCATTATACCTTGAAATTTTTCTAAGTGCTTGAACCAAAGACTTTATCCATATATGCTTTTAGCTTGATCAATAATCTTTGCCTTCTTGTCAACATGGTTTATCTTCATCAAAACAAAAGTGCATTTGAGAAGCTTGATTTTACACGAATATGTACTTTAACAATTCTGAATGTATTGTCTCCATCAAAGATAAAGAAATGTTAATAAAGGGTTCAATATCCAAAGGCCCCAACTCTTATGGGGTTAAAATGCTTGGACCAAAGATGGTCGAGAAAGGAACATCAAAGAAAACTAGGGTTTTTGATTCTAGCGACACTGATGATGAACCTATTATGTTTTTAAACCAAAAACCTCTAAAAATGATTGTTCTAGTTAACATTCCAACAAATCAATCAAAGAGTGATTCCATAAAGAAGAAAGCATCTGAGAAGGTTAATACCTCCATAAAGGAACCATATGTGCATGTTCATGAAATTGTTGAAACTGTGAATAGTTATGTGAAAGATGATTATAATACCATTGGAAAAATCATTGATCATGATGCAACCACTCTTGAGAAATATCATGTGAAACCATATGTTAAGTCACATGTTATTTCATATGTTGAACAAAATGTTAAAACATTTATTCCCCACCGGGTGGTTCATATACTGAAACCCCTGTTGAGCCCACATCTATTGAACCTCCCATTGTATCCACTAACGAATCACCTTATAAAGCTAAGCCTAGTGAAAAACTTGTTATGGTTTAGGTTCATACTATTGAAACACATATTTTTGATACAAATGTGAATGAAATCTTGAATGAAGATGATGATTCATATGAATATTAGAGGAATGATAATCCTGAAAATAAAGAGCCTAAGGTTCCAAGTGGAAGGAATGAAACAGATGATGAGGATGATGACATTCTTATTTCCAACATAATGATGAGGATTATTGAGAGTTCTACCAAGCCTCAAGAGAAAACTGTAGCTAAAGAAGTGGAGAATATTGATGAAGAAACTGAGTTTGATGAAGCACCTGTTGTTAAAGTAATAAAAAGCATAATTAGTATTATGGACGATGAGGTGAATAAGAAAAAGAAATATGTTTCTCCCAAAACCTTCAAGAAGAATACTGAAATAATGAAGAAGAAATTTCCTCAATAGAAGACTATGAGCAAGAAAAGTAAGGTTGAAGAGAAAACTGTTGAGAAGAAAAGAAAGGTTGAAGAGAAAACTGTTGAGAAGAAGTCTCTTAATAGAAAAACTTATTTAAGCAAGTGAATCTGAGACAAATGTTGAAGAAAATGTCCTTAACATTGTGCCATCTTCTAGGAGAAGAGTTGGTGGAAAGAGAATTCATATGAATATTGTTGTTGCTCCCTTGGATAACATGTCATTTAATTATGAAACAAGTGTGCAGTAGTGGAAATATGTTGTTCTAAGAAGGGTTGCATGTGAGAGAGAGCTACAAACAGATGCTCTTAATTGTAAAGAGATCATGCATCTGATAAAAGTTGTTGGGCTAATCAAGATTATTTGTGATATTGGTCCTTGCAATTAAAAGGTACTCAAGAAGTTTATTGTGAATATGTCACTAGATTGCAATATGGAAGGAGGTCAAGAGTATATGAAGGTTTATGTTAGAGGGAAGTGTGTGATGTTTTCACCCTTCATTGTTAATGAGTATCTGGGGAGAAGCAAGTCCGCAGGGTCTGATAAAGTCCCCTCTTTTGACAAAATTGTTAATGAAATAGTTAACGGGCAAGTGAAGAAATGGTCCAAGAAAGGATTAATCTCAAGTGGGAGTTTGAGTGTGAAGTATTCTATTTTATATATTATTGGTGCATTAAATTGGGCACAAAAAAATCACAACTCATGTATAAACATTGTTTTGGCTAAGCTGAATATTATAGAGTATGTGTTTGACCAGACTATGAAGGATGTTGATTCTTTTGTTGTAAAGCTACCTATATATTTTCCATGTTTGCTAACTGGAATAATTTTGAAACTATTTGTGAGGACACATGTCTCGAACATTGTGGTGTTAAAGCCCCAAGGTCAAATTGCTGGTGGAGATTCTTCTCCAATTTCCAAAGCCACGATAAAGGACGCGTTACTTGAGATAATGGAAGTGTCAATGACTTTACATGAGACAATTATTGCAACTACCACCAGGAAAAGGAATGTGGATGGATTGATCAGAATGTTGACCAAGGAGAGGGAAGTTAGGATGAAGAAAAGGCTAACACTGAAGAGGAAGAGGAAGAACAATCTAATAGTGATGGAGAAAATGGAAGCTCATAAACCTTAAATAATGAAGAAAAATCAAGCTGTGAAGAATGATGTCATCGAGCTGAAGTTGTTATGTTATTTAGGCCCCTTGTTTTTTTCTTTGGCCTTATTTTTTACGGGTCTGTAATAATTTTTTACTTCTACATTTTAACTACTCCAGTTGGTACTCATTTATGTTTTTAGTTATGTTGACACTAACAATGTATGATATGATTTTCTACACCTGGTGGTTGAAATTGGTTGAGTTGTTTAACGCTCTTTGATCTAGTTTTTATTCTTTCATCACCTTTTCCAAATTATAGAAAAAGGAGGAGTAGGAATATATTTTCTTAACTGGTGTGGAATCCTGTGAACCTCTGGTGATTGATCTGATATGGTAGTTGCCTGTGAAATAATGTGGAGCATCTAGCATGGCATATAGACATGTGTTCTTTGAGCATGTGTGAGCGGATATACTGACTGTGTGAAAACTCTAATGCTTTTTTGTGTAGTAGTAGTGGTATGTGATGACCTCACTGACTAATGACAAACACTGGCCTTGTTTGTGTGCATGTGTGATTCCATGTCTTAAATGTATGAGAGCATTCTGTTTGATCTTTTTTTTGATGTATCAACCATATCTTATGTACTCTGACTTTATGTTATTTCTTATGATATTGCTGATGTTTGTTTTGATTGTTCTGAGTGTGGTGGGCTTATGATGCTCAGTTTGTAGTATTTTTGAAGATTTATCATTTGCATATCTTGTAAGTTTTGGAAGAGTTGTTTTGCCTAAATTTTCCAATGGTGGAAATTATTGTTCCTTTTGGATTGGTTGCATTTTGAAAAACAACATGGAGTGTACACTATGTTTTGGTGAAGAAATGACACATGTGGGATATGATGTTCTAGGACGTGTGGTACATCTGGCCCCTGCGTCAATTCAAGCTTTGGCGCATTTTTTTGTGATATCCGAGAGCACTTGTGGATTAATTTTTTATTAATTTGTTGTTATATTTTAGAAATATAATTAGTTATATTTGTTTTATAATTTAATAAGATCAAATTTAAATTATGGAGATTTAAATTTGAATTCAAATCAAATCAAATATTTTAATGGAGTTGTTTTGGAAAAATATATCTTAAGCAAATCTCCATGATAACTAGGATTGAAATTCAAATGCCCATTGGATAAAAGGCCCAAACATGGATTGTTATTTAAAGAGACTTATTCTAAAATTGAAGACAAGAAAGTTGAATTGAAGATCTTTGTGTTAAGGTTTATATTCAATCCTTGCTGGTATTGTTGGTTGTACACCACGCTAGAACCTACAGCCAGATCATAAGGCATAGTGTTGGTTTGTTTAGTTGAGTTATAATTCAATATTCTTTAAGTTATTTATTGAAGTTAATGACTAGGGTTAGTGATTGAGAGAAACTAAGAGGGGTTCTCTTATTTAAGGGGAGTCTTACATATAAAGTTATTGGGTAGTATTAGGAAGAGGTTATGAACAGGGTGTGTTCATGTAAGACTAAGTGTATTAATATTATTGATAGTGAATTTCCTTTATTGGTTTGGATGCCCCAGATGTAGGTGTGATTTGCACTGAGCTGAGTTAACAATTATTATATTCTTTATTTCTTTTCTGCTTCATCATCTTCTATAAGTTAAACTATCATAACTTGGTTGTACATATTCCTCAGACATCATGTCCAACATTTTCACCATGAACCGAATTTAACTATGGTCGGACCTAATGAAGACGTCTTCTATGTTAGCGTTGAAGTAGATGATTAATGTAAGACAACAAGACTCAGCAAATTTATTTCATAGTTAGAGAAAGGTCATAGATGTGGGGGTGACACAATCATATAATATTAATAATCAAACATTTCACACCCTAAAAATCATAGTTAATTATTTAAGTAGTTATTTGTGATTATTTGTGAAATATTGTGATTTATATGATGCATTGTAGTGTATTGGTGATATTATGTTGTGGGGAAGCGTTGGATTAAGGTGATGATGAAAATTATTAGTTTTAATAATTAGTTTATAATTATTTAGAATTTAAATAATTTTTTTGGGATTAATTAGATTTGATAATTTTTTAGAATTATTCTATTAAATTAACTAGGATAATATGTGTAGAGATATTAAGGGCAAGGTGGTAATTTTATGAGGATTAGTGAGGGTAAGATGAGATTTTCATAATAAGGATCTTAGAGGTAAGAGTGAAAAAATGGAAGATTGAGGTTTTGTCCGTTCATTCTGTACGATCGATTTTTGGGGAATAAGTTGTGGAGAAAGAGCTAAAAGATTGAGGAACGCAGATGATTTTAGTAGAGAACGCGAAGAGAAAAATCATCCGCTAGGAATTTTCATGTAAGGGGTGATCCATATTATTATCATTGATATGGGGTTTAGGTATGTGTAGGGGTGTGTTTTGTGGTTTATTTGATTGATAAAGCGTCTCCGTATGTTTCCTTTATGACTGTTAAATGTCCCTTTCGATGTCCCTCAAACATCCAACGATTAGGCTACCTACTCACTAATAGTAGGATAGCATTGTCTACAGGAAAAGAGGAAAAGAACGACCCTTTTCGAGTAATAAGAGTAGATAGCTGTTAGAAGTTTGCTCAAAATACTTTTTGCACTTATACACAAACACTACTTAAAAAAAAACAATTTCAAAGCATTTGCTTTGTTAACACTCTTGAGGACTGATACAAGAGTTAAACACAAGACAAATCTCCGCACTAAGGCATCTTTCAAAACATTATCAAACACAAAGCACAAAAGCATTTTAAAAATGAGCAAACTTCTAAGAGCCCGTGGAAAACCACAGATGGAAAGGGTGCTAACACCTTCCCTTTCCATAATCTACCCCCCTTACTCAGAAAATCTCAAAAAGGTCTTTTTCTGTTCTTTTCACCATTTTCTTTGTTGAATAAAAGAAAAGATGGTGGCGACTCTTGCTTACCGCACATTTGCGAACGAAAAATGCAAATCCAGCATATATAAACAGTCAGTTCTGCCACCATGTTACAGAGTGTATATGAATTGATACTATTTAGTGAACTTGTCCCTGGCTTGGTAGCCCCTAAGTAGGTGTTTGTGTACACTGAACTGGGTGAACAATCTCTTGTGTTTTTACTTCTTTTGATTTTACTGCACCTTACTTGCGAACAAATATGTGTGTCGTGACATCTCATTCGACATCACATATCTGATACCAGAATTTCAATCTAGATATTAGAAATCCCATATCACTCCATAAATCACCTTAGTGATATCTAACAGTCACAATCCTAGTGATTGTATCAAAAACAACCCAACAAGAATATTACACTTCCAATACAAAACTCAATTCTAATGCTTAAAAGCTTCAAGAGTGAGAACAATACTCAACTCATTACCTAAAGACTTCTGAATGAGAATAAAATGTCTACCACAAGTATCAAAAGATAAAAGGGTGACTTACACCCACACAATAGACTCTCAAAACCTAAGACTCTAAGCTTCCCCTAATTTATAAATTATTGAAAGTTCAAATTGCATTAGGTTAGGTCTTCTCTTTAAATACACCTCTGCAGTCTATGGGCTTCGAAATCTGCATCCAAATATTTCTTGATCCACAAGTTGAGTGATGCACTAATTATGCAGCAAAATATCCTTAAATATTGGAACAAATAATAAAAAGTTTCCTAAATTGTCTCAAGACCCAATTTAGTAACTTATGTACAACTAGAGATACAAAACTTGTTCCAGGTTAAATTTTCTTGACCTGCAAAATTTACTAAGACATATCCAAAAGGAATATCGCAGAAACTAATTAAATCTTTCAACATTTAAAATAACCTCTACATGTTCTGGTACAAAATCTTATAAC